AACGCCGGGTAGCTCACATCACGTCTGTTAGCGCAGTCGCTAGGAGAGACAGCCGTCTCCCCGTCCCCGCTCAGTCTCCCAGGAACCCCAAGGGCAAGGTGACAAAGTGGGCATGAAAGAGTTTGGAAGGTGAGAAGTGGTAGAAGCATGGAAATTGTCATTTATCCCTATGTGAACTCCGTTGATGAGCACGTGAGGGTGATCTGGTTGGGGACAGAAACACAACGACACTGGTCACTAGAAGGAGATTCGAGTGAATTCTAGCACCCTGCTCTTAAATCCCCACATAGCCCCTCTGCCGGCGCCGCCCACGTGGGGGGCACTGAGGGTCACAGCGGGAACGTGTGGGGGACACTGAGGGTCACGGGGGGAACGTGTGGGGGACACTGAGGGTCACGGGGGGAACACTAAGGTGGACAGTAAGGGTCACTGCGGGAACGCGTGGGGGACACTGAGGGTCAGGGCGGGAACGCGTGGGGGACACTGAGGGTACTGCGGGAAACCGCTGGGGGGACACTGAAGGTCACCGGCCGGGAACTGTGGGGGACACTGAGGGTCCGGGGGAACGTTTGGGGGACACTGAGGGTCAGGGCGGAACACTAGGTGGGCATGAGGGTCAGCGGGCAACGCGTGGGGGACCAGAAGGGTCACGGCGGGACAGCGTGGCGGAGCACTTGAGGGTCCAGGCGGGGAACCGTGGTGGACACCTGAGGGTCAGGCGGGAACCGTGGACACATGAAGGGTCAACGCGGGAACCCTGTGCGGACACTGAGGGTCACGCGCGGGAACTGTGGCGGACATGAGGGTCAAGGCGGGACCTGTGGGGGACACTGAGGTCACTGGCGGGACGCTGTGGAGAGCACTGAGGGTCCACGGCGGGAACCTGTGGTGGACACCTGGGGTCACGGTCGGGAACTGTGTGGGAACTGAGGGTCACGGCGGGAACGAGTGGCGACACTGAGGTCACGGCGGAACCTGTGCGGACACTGAGGGTCACGGCGGGAACCTGTGGCGGACATGAGGTAAGGGGGACCTGTGGCGGACCACTGAGGGCACGGGCGGGAACCTGTGTGGACACTGAGGGTCAATGGCGGAACTGTGGTGGACTGAGGGTCACGGCGAAACCTGTGGTGGGACACTGAGGGTCACGCGGGAACGCGTGGGGGACAGTAGGGTCCACGGCGGGAAATCGTGGCGGGCACTGAGGGTCACTGCGGGAACGTGTGGGGGACACTGAGGTCAGGGCGGGAACCTGTGGGGAACTGAGGGTCCTGCGAAGCGTGGCGGAATGAGGGTCACGGCGGGAACCTGTGGTGACACTGAGGGTAACGGCGGAACTGTGGTGACACTGAGGGTCACTGGCGGGAACCTGTGGGGACAACTGAGGGTCACGGCGGAACCGTGGGGGACACTGGGTCAGGCGGGAATGCGTGCGGGCACTGAGGGTCAGGCGGGAACCGTGGGGGACAGTAAGGGTCAGCGCGGAATGGTGCGGGCACTGAGGTCACTGCGGGAACGTGTGGGGGACCACTGAGGTAGGGCGGGAACCTGTGGGGACACTGAGGGTCACAGCGGGAACGGTGGGGACACTGAGGGTCACGGGGGAACGTGTGGGGGACACTGAGGTCACGGCCGGGAACACTGTGGGACACTAGAGGTCACGGCGGAACGCGTGGGGACACTGAGGGTCACGGCGGGAACCTGTGGGACACTGAGGGTCATGGCGGGAACCTGTGGGGGACACTGAGGGTCAGGGCGGGAACGCGTGGGGGACACTGAGGGTCAAGGCCGGACCTGTGGATGGATGAGGGTCAAAGGCGGAACGCGTGGGGGACCTGAGGTCAGGCGCGGGAACGGTGGGGACACGAGGGTCAGGGCAGGGAGCGTGGGGGACACTGAGGATACGGCCCGGGGAAAAACCGCGCCCGGGTTTTTTGGGGGGGGACACGAGGTCAAGCGCGGGACTGTGGTGGACACTGAGATAAGGCGGACCTGTGGTGACCTGAGGGTCACGGCGGGAACTGTGGTGGACACTGAGGTCACGGCGGGAACCTGTGGTGGACACTGAGGGTCAGGGCGGGAACCTGTGGTGGACACTGAGGGTCAAGGCGGGAACCTGTGGTGGACACTGAGGGTGGCGGGAACGTGTGTGGACAGCTGAGGGTCAGCGGGAACCTGTGGGTGGACATGAGGTCACGCGGGAACGCGTGGGGGCACTGAGGATCACGGCGGGACCTGTGGGACACTGAGGGTCAGGGCGGGAACCTGTGGGGACACTGAGGGTCAATGGCGGGAACCTGTGGGGGAATGAGGGTTCACGGCGGGAACCTGTGGTGGAACTGAGGGATACGGCGGGACAAGCGTGCGGGCACCTGAGGGTCACGGCGGGAACCTGTGGGGGAACTGGAGTCAGGGCGGGAACGCGTGGGGGACACTGAGAACCGGCGGGAACGCGGGGGACACCTGAGGGTCAAGGCCGGAACGCTGTGGTGACCTGAGGGTCACGGCGGGAAACCTGTGGTGGACACTGAGGTCCACGGCGAACCTGTGGTGGACCTGAGGCGTCAGGCGGGAACCTGTGTGAACTGAGGGGTCAGGGCGGGGAACCTGTGGTGGAAAACTGAGGGTCACGGCCGGGAACCTTGTGGTGACACTGAGGGTCCAGGCGGGAAACCTGTGGTGGACACTGAGGGTCACCGGCGGAACTGTGTGGACACTGAGGGTCACGGCGGGAACCTTGGTGGACACTGAGGTCACGGCGGGACCTGTGTGGGCACTGAGGGTCATGGCGGGAACCTGTGGGTGGACACTGAGGGTCAAGGGACCTGTGTGGACACTGAGGGTCAGGGCGGAACCGGTGGTGGACACTGAGGGTCATGGGACCTTGGGGACACTGAGGGTCTGGCGGGAACCTGTGGGTGGCACTGAGGGTCAGGCGGGAACCTGTGGTGGACCATGAGGGTCATGGCGGACTGTGTGGAACACTGAGGGTCAAGGCGGGAACCTGTGGTGGACACTGAGGGTCACGGCGGGAACCTGTGGTGGACACTGAGGGTCACGGCGGGAACGCGTGGCCGGGCAACTGAGGTCACGGCGGGAACGTGTGGGGGAACACTGAGGGTCCAGGGCGGACCTGTGGGGAAACACTGAGGGTCACGGCGGGAACCTGTGGTGGACACTGAGGATCACGGCGGAAACACGTGGGGGAAACTGAGGGTCACACGGTGGGAACCTGTGGTCGGACACGTGAGGGTCACCGGCGGGCAACACGTGGGGACACTGAGGGTCACGGCGGGAACCTGTGGTGACTGAGGGTCAGGGCGGGAAACCTGTGGGTGACCACGTGGGGTCACGGCGGGAAGCGCTGGGGACACTGAGTCACGGTGGGACCTGTGGTGGACACTGAAGGGTCACGCGGGATCGGTGGGGGACACTGAGGATCACGGTGGGACCTGTGTGGCACTGAGGGTCACGGCGGGAACACGTGGGGGCACCTGAGGTCACGGCGGAACCTGTGGTGGACACTGAGGCGTCATGGCGGGAACGCGTGGGAGACACTGAGGGTCAAGGCGGGAACCTGTGGTGGACACTGAGGATCACGGCGGGACCTGTGGTGGGACACTGAGGTCAAGGCGGGACTGTGGTGGCACTGAGGGTCAAAGGTGGGAACCTGTGGTGGACACTGAGGGTCAAGGCGGGAACCTGTGGTGGACACTGAGGGTCAAGGCGGGAACCTGTGTGGAATGAGGATTCTACGGCGGGAACCTGTGTGGACACTGAGGGTCATGGCGGGAAACCCTGAGGCGCGATGACAGGACCCTGAAGTTCTTCTGCATGAATAAACAGGCGTGTGTGTTGGTGGCACGACCGGGACGTCAACTGTGGTTCTTCCTTCATGTGGGTCACGTGGCTCTCGGTGCGAACCTGCCTAGCCGCGCGGTGGCTGCCCAACAGGCCACTGCTCACAGGAGGGACGTCCAGACCCAGGGCCGAGCGCGGCTTTCTGAACCCACGCAGCCACTGGCCGCCGCGGCCCCCCGCACCCCGCAAGGCCACCCGGCTGCAGCCTCTGGCCTCTGCGGCCTCAGCCTCCGCGGTGTGAGAGGGGGTTGGACCTGTGCTCGGCAAGTGTCACTGCTCTTATTATCACACGGGGTTTCCTATGCATGAAGGTGACACGTTTTACAGTTTGAAAATGGACCGAGTGAATCCCTTCCCAGCCTATCCAACCCCAGTTCCAGGTTCCTTCGTCCTTGCTGTGTGGTCACCATCTTTCCCTGGGGACAGTTTGCCTCTCCCCGACACCCCTAACCAACCATCCTATTTTTTTTCATGAGTCCTTGTTTGCTGTCTTAGATTTCTTTTATTATTCAAGTTATACATATTATTGTTATTACCGTTATCATTAGTATTTAAACTATGCTTTGGTTCTTTTAATCCATCTGTGCAGAAATGAAATGTTGGAACCTAGACAGAGCTTGTGGTTAATAAAATATGTTGATAAATCTGTGAAAATGGAAAAAGAGGCAGTCTCTGAATAATAGGCTTTTTCCATGAACTCGCCCCGGGGGTGTGGTGGACATTGTCCCTCAAAGGTTTTGTGCCCTTGTATGGCATGAGGGAAAGAAACCAAATAAATCAGGCCACGTGAGTACGAACAGAGTTCACGCGGCGCCAGCCAGGAGCACAAACGTGCTGAGAAACGGCAAGCAGATAAGCAACAAAGACACCTGAGCCCGCATTTCTGCCTTTGCTGAACTGCAGGTGCTCCGCTGCAGGAGCAAGAGTAAACAACCAAACCCACAGGAGCCGTCTCCACGCAGTCACCAAGCAACGGCGGCGTGCCACCGAGCTGCTCGGCAGTCAGCTCGGGTGTGCCCGGCGTGACAAGTTTCAGGGTTCTGCGAGCTCCTTTCCTCCCCAGGGAATGGAGGGCTGCTCTGGAGCGGGCGGTGGAGAAAGCCCTAGACAGTCACGAGTGGGCCTGTGTTTCTCTGCAGGTGGTGACTTTCGACGCAGGGGGAGTCAGCGGCCACAGCAACCACGTGGCCCTGTACGCGGCTGTGAGGTATGGCTCTCTGGTGATGGGTGGCTCATTTGGCTCAGGGTTCCCGGTTTCTAGAGCACTTTCCCTCGTGTTCCCTGAGCCCCATGAAAGTCACTGCGGGATTGTCCAGTTGCTCACTACGTCTCACCACGTCCTGTCCGAGAAATCTCTCTCGAGTCCTGGCGGGAGGGCCCGTCCCCTATGCAGCTGAATTGTTTTTACCCTCTGGACACTGAAAACGGGGTAATGCTATATTTCTCTTTGCTGTGGCCACAGAAAGCTTTAGGGCCACATTTGCAGCCCCTGTAGCCCATGGACAAGACTTTGACAAATGAGTTCTGTGACTCGGTTGCCTCCCGGTTTCTTTACCCTTCCCGTAAGATGACTTATTGCGTCATCTTCCATTATGGATTTTGTTCACTACCTCACATTTTTCTTTGGAGAAGGAGTATATACACAGATAACATGAAATCTCATTTGTTCTTCACAGTCACCCTATTCTACTGATAGTTATGTATGTTTTACCGGTAAAAACGAAATGGAACCCCAAAATACTGAGTGACGACATAGGGTCACACAGACATGGACCATGTCTCCTGTCCTCCAGTGAAGTGCTTCTCTTGGGCCCCTGACCAGCGGTGTGGGGCCGCCCTGGCTCCTGAAGGGAAGGGCCTATCGGACACCTTCTTCTAAACAGGCCCGACGCTCTCAGGCTAGGGCAGGTGACACGTGGAGTTGGACAGGACCTCACCCGCCGTGAGCTCCAGCCACCTCCCCTACCTCGGCCGAAGCGTGTCTGCCTGGCACGGCACGGCTGAGCGATGGCAGCGGCTGCACCGGGACCCCGGGATCCTGGCTCTCCGCTCGTTACTCTGTCAGACGCGAGTGACCAGTCCAACCCGAGGACCCTCTCGTCTTGTCCCTAAATTGTACGTCGCCTAGTGGAAGGTGCTATGAATGGAAATGGTCACCCATGTGTTCCCTCCAGACGGCTCTCTGTGCCGCTGCCGTGGGATGAGGGCAGGCCAGACCGCTGTCCCCTCTTGTAAAGACTGCCCGCTTCCCGGCCAGCCAGAGGCCGCAGCCGTGGAGGAGACGTGCTGCTCAGGGCATCGGGTCCCTTCACGTTCGGGAAAGACACACCCCCAGTCCCAGTGCGAGATGCGATTTTCTGTGGAGATGCGTGGGAAAATGGGGCAGCCCACGCGTGGTCTTCCCAACCATATGGTCGCCATGCTCCCAACCTGGCCCTTCTCAGAGGAGAGTCCTCCGGGCGTTAAGGACCGTGAGGGTGACTTCGGGGCGTGCGCCTCCAGCGCTGCCTCTCTCCTGGGTCCCCTGACCAGCTCACACTCAGAATGGCGCCAGGGCTCTGCCCAAAGTGAGGGACAAGTCAGGTCACTCTCAGGGTCCCAGAAACCTATTGCAGGTTTTTCCACTTCTCAGGCTGTGTGGGCAGGCGGTTCCACAGTTTGCCAGCTGTCCCTCAGCACCTCTGCCCTGCCCCCAGGAGCCCCTGTTTCACGCCTGCATGTCTGTGGGGAGCCCCACTTGGTAAACGCAACGCAGGGGAGAGGTGTGGCACTCGCTGCTGCGGGCTGCCTCACCACCCTGCAGGCAGAATGGCCTTCCCTGTGAGAAGGGGGGCGTGGGAGGTGGGAAAGGAGAAAGGAAATATCAGGGAAGAAAGAGCATTAATATTCTAAAACATTCCCCTACCATACTCGCAATTTCAAGAGAAAAACTTTGAAAAGTCCCAAGTAGCTACCTCCATCCTGTAAGGGCGAAGCTGGGAACAGGTCACTGGGACCACAGACCAGCCTCCGATTGGCTGTCCTTGGGCAAGGTGCCCACCTGGCCCTTTGTGTGAAGGAAACCACCTGGAAGCCCCTGTGGAGGGGACCGCAGGCAGGGCGGGCCTCCGCCACGGCCCCTCTGTTCCCTACAGAGGGACAGACGATCTCACTCTCTCATTCGTGCCCTTTTCTCCAGGGCCCTGCGCTCAGAAGGGAAGTTACCTAAAGGTAAGGCCTGTCCCTCTTGCAAAAGGCTGCCACTTTCTCCCTCTAAAAACTTACTCGAGAGAAATTTGCAAACTTGCAAATACACACACACACACACACACACACACACACACACACACACACACACATATTTGGGGCAGAGGGCTGCCCCAGGCTGTGCAGAGGCCAGGAGGAGGAGGCTGGTTGCGCCTTTCCTGACCCAGCTCAGGTGCCCGGCACATTGCATCCTGGGCATGTGCCTGCAGCAGGGCCCTGGAGACATGGGCAGCTCAACACCATTTCACAGATTAAGAAAACTTGAGGCTCAGAGTGGTTAAGGGACAATGTCAAGTCTGTCGTCAGTCCTTGAGTGACAGAGCTGCAGCCAGGTCTCTGGCCTCCCGGTGCAGCAATTCCTGTCCCCATCACCTTTCCCTTGGCCTTGAGGTGGCCAGATCCCAACCCGCGCAACCAGCCACTTCTTGTGAGGGCACGTGGCGGGTGGCAGGTAGCCAGCCGGGTCTTCAGTGGCCCTTTTGTTCTTCCTGGCCCCGGGAATGATGGGCAAAGAGCAGCTTTGGTGCCATGGCGACACCTGGCAACCCTGCGGCCACCGGCCTGCCCTGCTCTGAGCCACAGGGGAGAGGGAGGGTGCTGGGGGGAGTCTGGCTGGGGCCTCCAGGCTCCTCACTGTCCCCGCCCTCCCACCAGGGTGCTCCGTGCTCACGCTGCAGTCTGTGAATGTGCTGCGCAAGTACCTCTCCCTCCTGGACCTGCCCTGGTCCCTGCTCCACGCCCGGGACGTGCTCTTCGTGCTCACCAGCGCAGAAGTGGCACGGGCCAAGGTGAGGACGGCAAATTCCTGGTCACCTCGACTTAGGTCCGTGCCCCAGACCCCCGGCTCCTCAAAGCCCTGCCCTGCAGAGGCCCGGAGCGAAGGCCTTCCATGGTGGCTCAGCTTCTGTGCCTGACTGTGAGGAGCAGGCTGGACTTTGGGAGACATAGATTTTCAATGACTTTGTCCTTCTTTTCTGATTATGAAAGTGAAGATGGGCGTGGTGGCTCATGGCTATAGTCCCAGCTACTCAGGAGACTGAGGCAGGAGGATCGTTTGAGCCCAGGAGTTCAAGACCAGCTGGGGCAACATAGCAAGATCTGCCTCAATTAAAAATAATAATAACAATAATATGCTTTTTAGAAAAGTAAATAACACGTGCTCATTGTAGACAATCTAGAAATACATAAAAGCATCAGGAAGAAAATGAAAATAAGAAAAATTACCTGGAATCCCACCACTCAGAGGTAATAATTGTTAACATAGTGGGCTACATCCTTCTACTTCATGTGTGTGTGTATGTATAGATATAGATACAGATATAGATATATTTCAATGAGATCACACAATGTGCACTGTTTAAAACCTGCTTTAACAATATGGTATGAGCATTTTCTCATGTGTGATTAAGTATTTGAGTTATATTGGCTGCCTATTATGCTATTGTATGGCTGTGCCATAAAATATATCGTGAATCCCTTATAGTTGGACAGTTGATTTACCAGTTTTTCACTGTTACACACGGAGCAGTGCTCCCAGCGTGAGCCCAGGAGGATTCAGAGCTGTGGGAGGCTCTGTGGAGAGCCAGTGGGGCAGCCTGCAAAAGCCGCTTTGCCAGCTGTGGAAGAGCTGGGCCCAGGGAGGCCCTGCTAGGGACACTCTCAGCTGTCAGTGGGGTGGGTGGCTCTGAGTGCCACCATTGTTAGGGAGAGGGAGAGTGCAGGAGACTTGTTCCTTCCATCGCACAGGGAAGGGGAGCAGGGAGGGAAAACTGACAGAACCGAGCTGTGGATGTGGGCGTGGTGGTGCATGCGTAGTCTCAGCTACTCAGGAGGCTGCGGTGGGAGAGTTGCTTGAACCTAGGAGTTCAAGGCTGGCTTGGGCAACAAAGGGATACTCTGTTTCTAAAAAAGAGAAAAGAAAGAAAAGGAAACTGAGAACCATTTTGTTTAAAACTCAAGATAATGATTTTGTTGGTTTGTTTAGCTTTGTTTTCTAAATTCTCTACAATAAACCCTTATAACCACTAAGAGGCACCTTGCTAGGTGCTGATTATGAACTGCTGAGCAAAAATGTCAATATCTTGTTTCTTCGATAGCTCATTAATTTTGTACTTTATTACAAAAAGGAGTTGCTAAGGGCAAGATAGTGGATGAGAAAAATTGCCAGCCAAGAAAGACAGACTTTAGAAGAAAGTAAAAAAAAAAAATAAACAGGCAGACAAATACAGATGGGATGAGGGTTGGAAGGAAGGGTGCCTGAAACTACAAGAAATTCCACAGGAAGACGTTGTGGAGGAGAAATGGAAGGGGAAAGGCCCCCCGAGAGGCTTGGAGACCAGCAACAAGGGTAGGTGGACTGGTTACACTTCCCCTCCCTTGCATCTCAGACTGCCAGTGGGTTCCTGTGCAGTTGGAGAGACTTGCTAACACCTGCCCAGAGACAGATGCCACCAGTGAGTGGTAAGCCTCTTGCAGATCTGGCACCAGACTCCCAGCTCCCTTGGGCACCTCCCGGCCCACAAACCTGAGCTGAGCAGCAGGCACGATATTGTATCATTCTCTTCCCCTTCCCTTCCATACCTACGGCCACTGAGAGAGACAACTTAGCCACCTCTTGGAGGCATTTGCAGGGAATAGGACCATTCCCTTTGGTGCCCTACTCAGGGGAACTAAGACTGCGAGCTCCCTACCTGCCAGCTCTCCCAGGTGCTGCTGGCCTGGTGACTCCAGCAGAGTGGGGCAAATACTGAGGCACAGAGACAATGATCCAGCTTGGGCACCCCATGGGTGACTTGAGACCAGCACCCCTCTCCCTGGCAGGGTCAGGGACTGATCTCCAAGGCCCAGGGGACAGGCCTGCAGACCAGATCCCATACACCAAGGTATTGATCACATTGCCCCAGGGCACAGAAGGGATATTTGTGAACAGCCTACTGAGGTATGTGTGCCTCCAGGGGCAGATCAGCGTCCTAGAGTGCAAGCCTCCTCCCATGAGAGAGACGTGTGCCCAGCCCAGGCGGTGACCCTGCACAGGGAACCTCCCAGCCAGCATCACAGCCAGGGGAGACCTAGTGGCGTTAGGTCCTGCCTGCAGGCAGAGGCCCAGGAGTGGCTGTGGAGTTGGGAAGGGTGGAAAGAAGCAAGGCCCGCTCCAGACTGTGGGTCTCAGACAGCCCCACCCCCACAGGTAGACTCTCTGACTCAGCGGGGCCATTCCAGCCCCTCCCTGACTGCTTTTCCCCTAAGCAGAGAACAGAACTTTGACCCCTGCTAACGGCATTGGTGGTGCCGGAGGGCAGGCTTATCCAACCCAGCTCTGCCCAGACTCACTCCCAGACCAGCCCTCACTGAGGGGGAGAAGAGGACACACCTGGAAGAACCAGGGCCCCACCCACCACCTGAGGCACTAGAGTGCCTCTCCAGGGGAACAAGAGCTGGTTACAGGACACAAAAACAACAGCATAGCCTGTTCCTCCAAGCAAGCACCACCTACTGACAGGGAGGTTATTCTGCACACCCTTTAAATACATCTATTGACTCATCATACAGGGTATGGTTGAATCTAACCCACAAACACCACCTACTTGCTCAGAGACTAAACAGGGTGTATCATTGTCCAGGCAAAAATCTAAAGGTAAGCAACAGCTGGTCCAGATGGGAAGAAATCAGCAAAAGAACTCTGGAAGTATTAAGAATAAAATGGAAAGCACACCCCCAGAGGGGAACACCAGTTCTCTAGCAGTGGACATCAACCAAATTTAGAATAGTAAAATGACAGAAGAAGAATTTCAAACATGGATTGTAAGAAAACTCAATGATATGCAAGAAAAAATGGATAGCCAACACAAAGAAACAACACACACACACACACAAAATCCAGGACTTGGAAGAAAAATTCACTAAAGAAATTGAAATATTAAAGAAAAATCAAACAAAACTTCTAAAAATGAAGAATTTATTCAAGGAATTACAAAACAGTGGAAAGCCTTAAGAACAAGGTAGATCAAACAGAAGAAAGAATCTCAAGGATTGAAGATAACATCTTTCCATTAAATAAGTCAGTCACAGAGATAGAGCAGAGAAATAAGAGAAAAGAGCAAAGCCTATAAGAAATGTGGGATTATGTGAAGAGGCCTAATATGAGACTCATAGGCATCCCAGAGAGTGAAGAATAAAATACACAAGGGGTGGATAAGCTATTTGAGGATATAATACAGGAAAATTTCCCAAGGCTTGCTAAAAATTTAGATATTCAGGTATAAGAAACTCAAAGGACTCCTGGGAGATTCATTGCAAACAGGAAGATATCACGACACACACTCATCAGACCAACCAAACTAACTACCAAAGAGGACTTCCTATGAGCTGTAAGCAAAAGAAACAAGTAACTTACAAAAGAAAACCCATCAGAAAAACATCACACTTCTCAACTGACACCTTACAAGCCAGAAGAGACTGGGGCCCCATTTTCACTCTTTTCAAACAGAATGATGCCCAGCCTAGAATCTTGTACCCTGCAAAACTAAGTTTTGTTGTGAAGGAGAAATAAAGACCTTCACAGACAAGTGAAGACTGAGGGAATTCATCAAGACAAGACATGCCCTCCAGGAAGTACTCAAAACAGTATTATACATGGATCAGCACAATAAACAGTCATGAATGTAAAATTGTCCAAAAGCCAAATTGTCAAAGGCCAGATATCACAATGGCTCAAGAGAGAAAACAAAGCAACAAAGTTCAACTCAATAGGATGAACAGAAATCTACCCCACTTATCAATTCTCTCACTAAATGTGAATGGCTTGAACTGCCCACTAAAGAGATATAGGGTGGGCAAATGGATAAATACACACAAGCCAAGTATCTGCTGTCTTCAGGAAACACATCTAACTCAGAAGGATGCATTCATACTCAAGGTGAAGGGATAGAAAACAATATTTCAAGCCAACACAGGCCAAAAGAAAGCTGATGTGGCAGTTCTGGTTTCAGATAATGTACTCTTCAAATAAACAAATGTGATGAAAGACAAAGAGGGTCACTATATAACAGTGGAGGGTACAATTCAACAAGAAGACATAACAATTCTAAATATGTATGCATGTAACTCAGGTACACCCAGATTCATAAAGCAAATCCTACTTGATCTAAACAAAATGATAAACAGCAACAACATAATAGCTGTAGACTTCAGCACTCCTCTGACAGAGCAGGACTGATCCTTCAAACAGAAAATAAACAAATAAACAATGGACTTAAACAGAAGTCTAGAACAAATGGGCCTGACTGACATTTACAGAACATTCTACCCCAAAACCACTGAATATATGCTTTTCCTCATCAGCTCATGGGACATTCTTTAACATTGACCATATCCTAGGCCACAAAGCATGTCTGAAAAAAAATTTAAAAGTATAAATTATACCATGCATCTTCTCAGACCATAGTGGAATAAAATTAGAAATCAACTCCAACAGAAACTCTCATCTCTACACAAGTCATGAAAACTTAACAACATTCTGCTGAAAGATTATTACGTTAAGGAGGAAATCAAGATGGAAATAAAGAGTCTTCGAACTAAATGATAAAGGGGTACAAGTTATCAAAATCTGTGGGACACAGCTAAAGGAGTCTTGAGAGGAAAATTTATATCTATAAATGCCTACATCCAAAAGACAGAAAGATCACAAATAAACAATCTAATGAATCATTTCAAAGAACTGGAAAAGGATGAGCAAACCAACCTCAAACCCTGTAGAAGAAAAGAAATGACAAAAATCAGGCAGAAATAAATGAAATTGACAACAAAAAAACTATATGGAAGATTAATAAAATGAAAAGTTGGTTATTTGAAAAAATAAACAAAATTGACATGCCTCTGACTAGATTAACAAGAAGCATAAAAGAAGGAACTCTAATAAGCTCCATCAAAAATGAAAAAGGAGAAATTACAACTGATGCCACGGAAATACAAAATATCATCTATGAATACTATAAAAACCTCTATGCACATAAACTGGAAAATGTGGAGGAAATGGACAAATTCTTAGAAACACACTGCCTCCCTAGGCTCAATCAAGAAGAAATAGAATTCCTGAATATATCAATATCAAGTACTGAAATTGAAACAGCAATAAAAAAACCTTCCTAAAAAGAAAAGTCCTGGACCAGATGGTTTCAACCCGAATTTTACCACACCTACAAAGAAGAACTGGTGCCTATGCTGCAGAAATTATTCCACAACATTGAGAAGGAAGGAATCCGCCCCAACACATTTATGAAGCGAACATAACCCTGATACCAAAACCAGGAAAGGATGCAACAAAAAAAGAAAACTACAGACCAATATCCCTTATGAATATAGATGCAAAAATTCTCAACAAAATCCTAGCCAGTCGAATCCAGGTGCTTGTCAAGAAAATAATTCATCACAACCAAGTGGGCTTCATCCCAGGGGTGCAGGGATGGTTCAACATATGCAAATCTATAAATGCAATTCACCATATAAACAGAAGCAAAAACAAAGACCATATGATTCTCTCAATAGATGCAGAGAAACCATTTGACAAAATTCAACACCCTTTTATGATAAGAATGCTCAACAAAATAGGCATAGATGGGGCTTACCTAAAAATGATACAAGCCATATATGACAAACCCACAGCCAATATCATACTGGGTGGGGAAAAATTGAAAGCATTTCCACTTAGAACTGGAACAAGAAAAAGTTGCCCACTATCTCCACTTCTGTTCAACATAGTGCTGGAAGTCCTCGCTACAATCAAACAAGAGAGCGGAATTAAGGGCGTCCAAATGGGAGCAGAAGAAATCAAACTCTCACTCTTCACTGATGACATGATATTATACCTAGAAAACCCCAAGGATTCAACCAAGAGACTCCCTGATCTGATAAATGAATTTGGTAAAGTCTCAGGATATAAGATCAATACACAGAAATCAGAGGCATTCATATATACCAACAACAGTAAAAGTGAGAACCAAATCAAAGATTCAATTCCCTTCAAAATAGCAACAAAGAAAATAAAGTACCTTGGAATATATTTAACTAAGGAGGTAAAAGACCTCTACAGGGAGAACTATGAAACACTGAAGAAGGAAATAGCAGAGGACATAAACAGATGGAAGAATATACCATGCTCATTGATTGGCAGAATCAACATTGTTAAAATGTATATACTACCCAAAGTGACCTACAGAGCCAATCCCTATCAAAATACCATCATCATTTTTCTCAGATATAGAAAAATAATTTTATGCTTTGTATGGAACCAGAGAAGACCCCGCGTAGCAAAATCAATCCTGGGCAATAAAAACAAAATAGGAGGTTTCAATTTACCAGACTTCAAACTATACTACAAGGCTATAGTAATTAAAACAGCTTGTGACTGGCACAAGAACAGGGACATTGACCAGTGGAACATAACAGAGAACCCAGATATAAAACCATCCTCATATAGCCAGCTAACCTTCGACAAAGCAGACAAAAACATACACTGGGTAAAAGAATCTTTATTCAGTAAATGGTGCTGGGAAAACTGGATAGCCACATGTAGAAGACTGAAACAAGACCCACAACTTTCACCTCACAAAAATCAACTCACGCTGGGTAACAGACTTGAACCTCAGGTGTCAAACTATTAGAATTCTAGAGGAAAATGTTGGAAATACTCTTGTAGACATTGTCCTAGGCAAAGAATTTATAAAGAAGACCCCAAAGGCAATCACAACAGCAACAAAAATAAACAAATGGGACCTGATCAAATTAAAAAGCTTCTGCACAGCCAAAGAAACTGTCGAGAGAGCAAAAAGACAACCCACAGAATGAGAGAAAAATTTTGCAAGCTACACATCTGATAAAGGGCTGATTACTAGAATCTATTTAGAACTCAGGAAATTCAGCAAGAAAAAATCAAACAACCCTATCAAAAAATGGACAAAGGACATGAACAGAAACTTCTCAAAAGAAGACAGAATAATGGCCAACAAACATATGAAAGAATGTTCAACATCTCTAATTATCAGGAAATGCAAATCAAAACCACAATATGTCACTTAACTCCAGTGAGAATGGCCTTTATCAAAAAGTCCCCAAACAATAAATGCTGACCTGGATGCGGAGAGAGAGGAACACTCCTACACTGCTGGTGGAACTGCAAACTAGTTCAACCTCTGTGGAAAGCTATATGGAGATACCTCAAAGCGATGCAAGTAGATCTACCATTTGATCCAGCAATTCCACTACTGGGCATCTACCCAAAAGACCAAAAGTCACTTTATGAAAAAGACACCTGCACTCGAATGTTTATAGCAGCACAATTCACAATTGCAAAGCTGTGGAAACAACCCAAGTGCCCATCAATTCATGAGTTGATTAATAAAATGTAGTATATGTGTACCATGGAATACTACTTAGCTTTAAGAAACAATGGTGATATAGCACCTCTTGTATATTCCTGGATACAGCTGGAACCCATTCTACTAAGTGAAGTATCTCAAGAAAAAACAAGCACCACATGTACTCACCAGCAAATTGGTATTAACGGATCAACACCTAAGTGGACATATAGGAGTAACATTTATTGGGTGTCAGGAGGGTGGGAGGGGGAGGAAGGGATGGGCATATACAAACATAATGAGTAAAATGTGCAACGTTTGGGGGATGGACACACTTGAAGCTCTTACTCGAGGGGGGAGGGGGCATGGGAAATATATGTAACCTTAACACTTGTACCCCCATAATATGCTAAAATTAAAAAAATGAAAAAAATAACCATATGAAGCAACTCAAACTACTAACAGCGATATTATTTGTTAGTAGTGATATTATTGGTGATTTTCATTTTAAAGTTTTGCTTCTCTGTAGTTAAATTTCTATAATTAAATCTTTGATTCATTCAACAACTACTTAGCATTTGCTATGATTTAGTATTTATAAGAAGAAAAAATTTAAAAGAAAAATGTATACTATAAATCTAAAGTTGTATATTTTATTTAAAAAAGCAAGAAGGTAGTATATTATGCTTAGAAAAAGACTGGACACTAAAATATTAGTAGCAGTTATGTGTTATGTGTCAGTGGTGAGTTAGCAGAAATTTTATCTTTTCTTGCTACTTTTCCATGCTTTCCCAGTCTTCAGCAATGTGTTAATTATATATTCAATTCCTGGCCGTGTCTCCAGAGCCTAGAAGAGTAACTGGCACGTCATAGTAGCTCAAGAATATTTGTTGAATGAACGAATGCTTTTGTGCACAAACCCTCAAAATACTCTCTAACCTAATTTTCTACAGTGTTCCCCTTGCTCACTTCACTCTAGCCACTTAAACTTCCTTGCTGTTTCTCATACATGCCAGGTACACTTTGCTTTTGTAGTTTCCTTTACAGGAAGCTGCCCCTACCTCCATCCAAATGGTCCCCTCTTTCTCCCTTATGATCTCTCCTCAAATATTAGCTTATCAGAGGGAACTTCCGTGACCATCTGTGTCAAACAGAAATCGTCTACCTAAACACCATCTCCTTTGCCTTGGGTTTTTTCTTCAAAGAAATCATCATTATCTGGGACAGTTCTGTCCACCAAGTGTAAAAAAAAAATACTAGCCTCATTTAACTGTGTTGTATTTGTGGAGATGAAATTGAATAAGATTTTCTACAGGTAGAGAGAAGGGAACCATTGGTAAGTAATAAATAGGTAAAAATACTCTAAAAAATTTAAAAATTGACTTCTAAAAACCCACTCACCACCTGCTCATGAATCTCAATTTCATAATGTTGTAACACTGCAGGGAGCTAGATATGAATGTCGCATTCCATGTCCCTTAATTGAAAAGAAGGTAAATTTTGTATGGTGGTTGTCCCTTTTAAACAAATTACCTCAATTATTCAAACTAAAACAACCTGACTAGTATACCTAAACAACAAGGTGAAGATAAAAAGGAGTAACCTATTGGGCACTGAAAATTATCTTTCTATTTTGCAAATTATTTTTACAAATATTCTATCAGTAACTATTTTGGACATTAAAAACTGAGTACTTGAAAATAATTATAATAAAAACATACAAAATTAATCAACTATTATTAAAACAGCTATGCATCTAAGCCACAATAAAGGAGTGCCTAATGGTAGTTTGAAGAGAGATTTTTTAATATTCTATGATTTCTTCTAGAACCAATGTGTGTTCAGTCATCCCCACAAGCGGTTTTCTAGGGTAGCACCTTACTGTGCCTTAGTATTTTCATTTACAACAACAAGGTGATGTTAGCACAGACCGCTAACGTGTTATTTCCTGTCATTCCAGCAAACGTGTTATGCATGTCTCTCACTGCCTGGCATACAGCGAATGCTGCGCGCACAGGAGCTTTTCAGTCCCGGCTCGAAACTGCACCGCAGTGCCTGACAGCCCCGAGTTTCTGCCTACGTTCGAAACACTGGTTGCAAGAGCAGGAGCAGAAGCAGAGCAGGAGCAGAAGTAGAGCAGGAGCAGGAGCAGGAGCACACAGAGCAGGAGCAGGAGAAGAAGCAGGAGAAGAGCAGGAACAGAGCAGGAGCAGGAGCAGAGCAGGAGCAGGAGGGGAGCAGAGCAGCAGCAGGAGCGGAGCAGGAGCAGAGGCAGGAGCAGAGCAGGAGCAGAAGCGGGGCAGGAGCAGGAGCAGAGTAGGAGCAGAGCAGGAGCAGGAGCAGGAGCAGAAGCAGAGCAGGAGCAGGAGCAGAGCAGAGCAGGAGCAGGAGCAGGAGCAGGAGCAAGGCAGGAGCAGAGCAGAAGCAGGGCAGGAGCAGGAGCAGGAGCAGGAGAGATTTCGGCTTGTGTGGAAATATCATATGTGAGAGGAATCTCCTGCTTGTGTTTGAGAGATTCTCTCTGCGCTTCACAATTTGTGGCGTGATAAGCCTGCCCCGGAAACAGGACAGTTTCTAATGACAGCCCTCATCAGCCTCTACATGTGTCCTCTGGACGTGTGAGGTGCCCCTGGTGGTCTGGCCCGACTCCATTCTGGCCTCAGCCCGTCTCCCAAGCACGCCTGCCGTGCTCCTCCGCACTGAGCGTCCCAGCTCTTGTTCATCTTGGTGCTTTACACAGCTGGGAGTTGCGGAAGTTCCCCTACCTCAACTCACATGGTTCTTTCCACCACTCAGGCGTCACTTTAAATGTCACCTCAGACAAAGCCTTTCTGCCATAAAAGTTTGTCTAGTACCATGACTTCATGGATGAGCTGTTGTTTTTCTCTCCCACTTGCCTACACTCCCAAGGGTGGAGGACTGTTGTGTTAATAATCCATAGACCAGAGGTGGTGTTTCAGATGTGACCAGTACTTAGCATAAGGGCAAGTCCAGCAGAATTATGGGCTGGAGACGTGGATTTGCATTCAGAAGGTAGCAGTGCTCTCGCTGGAGGGCCCCTGTCTCTCCCGGGAGACATGTGGCAGTGTCCGAGACTGTTTCCTTGCCACCATGGGGGAGGCATGCAGTGTCATCCCTGAGTGAAGTCAGGGTGCTGCTGCGCATCCTGCATGAGACAGGCGCCCCACGATGAAGGGTGTCTAGTCCAAGAGGTGGCAGTGCCGGGCTAACAAACACGCAGCGGGAGGCATCCTTTGCCAAACAGATTCTCAGCTCTAAGGAGATCGTCTCTTGTTGGATATTCTGATTCCTACAATCAAATTCTCTTGTTGGTTTTAAAGAAGTTGTGTACTTTCCATAGCTTTCTTACTGTAAAGAAACAATAAACATGTCATTCTTAAATAGCAGTCCTTTTAGTTATTAAAAGTAATACTTCAGTTTACTTTATGAAACAGTTTATAGTTTGACACAGATTCCTAGGTGACGGGACATGTGGCATCAGTCGGAAGAGATGCTCTTGGACTGCAGAGGTCCACGTGGAGAACAGGAAGGACCCAGGTCGTCGCTCACACTTTAAAGATCCGAGGAGGGACAGCGCACCAGTGACACGGGGACTGCTGCTGCTCTCCCCAGCCACTCGCCTCCACGGTTGGGGAGACTTCCTGCTGAGCCAGCAGCTGCTGGCCCCCGGCCATGTGGAGCAGAGCGCCTGGTGTGGAGAGCACTGCTATGCTCCTGCTGCTCCTGCCTGCTCCTGTCCCTGCTCTGCTCTGCCTGCTCCAGCTCCTGCTCCTGCTCTGCTCAGCTCCTGCTCCTGCCCTCTCCTGCTCAGCCCTGCTCCTCTCCTGGCCGTCCTCCCTCTGCTCCTCTGCTCCTGCTCCTGCTCAGCTCCTGCTCTCTGCTCTGCTCCTGCCCTGCCTCCTGCTCCGCCTCCCTGCTCCGCTCCTGCCCTGCTCGCTAGCTCCTGCTCCTGTCCTGCTCAGCTCCTGCTCTTGCTCCTGCTCCTGCTCCATGCTCCTGTCCTGCTCTGCTCCGCTCCTGCTCCTGCTCCTGCTCTGCTCCTGCTCCTGCCCTGCTCCTGCCCGCTCCTGCTCCTGCCCTGCTCCTGCTCCGCTCCTGCTCTGCTCTGCTCCTGCTCCTGCTCTGCTCCTGCTCCTGCTCTGCTCATGCTCCAGCTCCGCTCCTGCTCCTGCTCCTGCTCCGCCCGCTCCTGCTCCTGCCCGCGCTGCTCCACTCCTGCTCCTGCTCCCTGCTCCACCTGCTCCTGCTCCTGCCTGCTCTGCTCTGCTCCTGCCTTGCTCCTGCTCTGCTCCGCTCCTCGCCGCTCCTGCTCCTGCTCCTGCCCTGCCTGCTCCTGCTCCTGCTCTGCTCCTGCTCCTGTCCTGCTTCTGCTCGCTCCTGCTCTGCTCCTGCTCCTGCTGCTGCTCCTGCTCCTGCTCCTGCTCCTGCTCCTGCCCTGCTTCTGCTCTGCTCCGCCTTCTCCTTGCTCCTGCTCCGCCTGCCTCTCCCGCCTCCTGCTCTGCTCCTGCTCCTCTGCTCCTGCCTGCTCGCTGCCACTCATGCTCCTGCTCCTGCACTCCTGCTCTGCTCTGCTGCCTGCTTTGCTCCTGTCCTGCTCTACTCTGCTCCTGCTCCTGCTCTGCTCCTGCTCTTGCTCCTGCTTCGCTGCCCTGCTTCTGGCTCACTCCTCCCTGCTCCTGCTCGCTGTCTGCTCTGCCCTGCTTCTGCCTGTCCCTGCTCTGCTCCTGCCCTTGCCTGTCCGCTCCGCTCGCTCATCTCTAGCTCCGTCCTGCTCCTGCTGCTGCTGCTGCTGTCCACTCTGCTCCTGCTTCTGCTCCGTCCTGCTCCTGCCCTGCTTCTGCTCTGCTCCCTGCCTTGCTCCTGCTCCGCACTGCTCCACTCTGCTCTGCTCCTGCTCTGCTCTGCTCCTGTCTGCTCCTGGCTCTGCTCCGCTCCTGCCTCCTGCTCCTGCTCTGCTGCTGCTCCTGCTTCCTGCTCTGCTCCTGCTCCGCTCCTGTCCGTCCTGCTCCTCTCTGCCTGCTCGCTCTGCTCCTGCCTGCTCCTGCTCCTGCTCCTGCTCGTCTGCTTGCTCCTGCCCTGCTCGCTCCTGTCCTGCTCCTCTCCTGCTCCTGCTCTGCTCCTGCTCTGCTCCTGCTCCTGTCCTGCTCAGCTCCTGCTCCTGCCTGTCCTGTCGCTCCTCCAGCTCCCTGCTCTGCTCCTGCTCCTGCTCCGTCCTGCTCCTGCTCCACTCCTGCTCCCTGCTCATGCTCCTCCGCTCTGCTCCTGCTCTGCTCCGCCCTGCTCCTGCCCCTCCTCTCCTGCCCCTCTGCTCCTGCCCTGCCCTGCTCAGCTCCCTCTGCTCCTGCTCTGCTCCGTCCTGCTACTGCTCCCTCCTGCTCCTGCTCCTGCTCCTGCTCCTGCTCCTGCTCCTGCCGCCTGCTCCTGCTCCTGCCCTCTCCCCGCTCCTGCTCCTGCTCCACTCCTGCTCCGCCCTGCTCCTGCTCACTCTGCTCTGCTCCCTGCTCTGCCTGCTCCGCTCCTGCTCCTGCTCCACTCCTCTCCTGCCTGCTCCGCCCTGCCTCCGCTACTGCTCTGCTCTGCTCCTGCTCCTGCTTCCTGCCTCCTGCTCCAGCTCGCGCTCCTGCTTGCCCTGCTGCCTGCCAGCTCCTGCCTGCTCCTGCCTCCACTCCTGCTCCTGCTCCTGCTGCTTCTTGCTCTCTCCTGCCTTGCTCCTGCTCCTGTCCTGCTCCGCTCCTGCTCCTGCTCCTCTGCTCCGCTCCTGCTCCTGCTCCTGCTCCTGCTCTGCTCTGTCCTGCTCTGCTCCGCCTCCTGCTCCTGCCAGCTCCTGCTCCTGCTCCTGCTCTGCTCCTGTCAGCCCTGCCCTGCCCTGCTCTGCTCGCTCCTGCTCGCTCCCCTGCTCCGCTCCTGCTCCTGCTATGCCATGCTCTGCTCCTGCTCCTGCTCAGCTCCTGCTCCTGCTCCTGCTCTGCTCATGCTCCAGCTCCGCTCCTGCTCCTGCTCCTGCTTGCTCTCCATCTG